TGTGGTGTGTCGTGTGTGTGTGTCGTGTGTGTTGTGTGTGTTGCGTGTGCGTGTTGTGTGTTGTGCGTGTGTGTTATATGTATGGTGTGTTGTGTATGTTATTCTTTGTGTATTGGGTTTGTGTTGTTCTGTTGTGGCTGTGTTGTTTGTTGGGGGTTGTGTGTCATGTGTGTTGTGTGTGCGTTGTGTGTTGTGTGGTGTTTAGTGTTCGGTATGTGTGTGTGGTGTGTATGTGTGTGGTGTTTGTGTTTGCGTGCGTGCGTGTGCGCTCTCTAGCAGTGTGCGTGCGTGCGTGTGTGCCCTGGCAGTGGCCTCTCTAGCCGCTGCCCTCCCATCCCTGCCCTCGTGGCTTCTCGCATCGTGCAACTATTCGGTGCCCCCCCGCAGGCCCCCAACCCTTGCTCGGGGCCTGCCCGCTGCCTTTCCTCCCTGCCCTCGCGGCGGCCTCCCATCGTGCACCTGTTCGGTGTCCCCCCGCAAGTCTCCCCCGCTCGGGGCTTGTTTTTTTTTCTCACGCATGCGCCCGCCCGCGCCTGGGCCAGCGCGCGGCCTGCTCCCATCGCGGCCGCCCTCTACGGGTTGGCCCCGTCGCTGCTGGCTGGTCTTGCCGCCCGCTCGTGACCTGCGTGCCGCCCCTCCTGCCTGCCTTGGGGTGCCCTGCTCTGCCGCCCCCTGCATCTTGGGGCGCTGGCCTTCTTCAGGTTTTGTCCAGGCCCTGCCTGCGGCACCCTTCGGCCCTTGCCGTGCTTCGCCGACCGGGCGGCACTCGCATTGGCGCCTGTGCCCCCCCCTCTCCATGGTGTTCTGGCCACCCCCCAGCACCGGCTTCTGGTGCCTGGCCGCTGTCTCTTCCTCGTCACTTCGCTCGCGTCGGCTGGAGGAGGAGGAGGAGGAGGAGGAGGAGGACGAGGAGGAGGAGGAGGAGAAGGAGGAGGAGAGGAGGAGGAGGGAGGAGGAGGAGGAGGGGAGGCGGAGGTGGAGGAAGAGAGCGGCGATCGGGGAAAACGGAGAGGAGAAGGACGAGGAGGAGGGAGGAGGAGGAGGAGGAGGAGGAGGAGGAGGAGGAGGAGGAGGGGAGATGGATGAGGGAGGGTGGATTTCGGAGAATGAAGGATGAAGTGGGGAGGAGACAGACCAGAGGAGGATGGCTAGCCAGCTGCATGCGGCAAGTCCCGCCACCGTGCAGGCCCGGCATTTTGGGTGGCAATTGTTCGAGTGGGCACAGGAGGCCGTCACGTGTGGCATTTCGTGTCTCCAGGCTTGCGAGGGCAGTGATGAGGATGATATGTGCTATGATGATAATGATGATAATGATGATGATGATGATGATGATGATGATGATGATGATGATGATGATGATGATGATGATGATGATGGTGATGGTGATGATGATGATGATGATTATGATGATGGTGATGGTGGTGGTGGTGGTGATGGTGATGGTGATGGTGATGGTGGTGGTGATGATAATGATGAATATGATGATGACGATGATGATGAGAAGGGCGAAGACGAAGAGGAGGATGATGGTGGTGGTGATGGTGATGATGATGGTAATGGTGATGGTGATGATGCTGATAGTGGTGATGATGGGGATGGGGATGGGGATGGGGATGGTGATGAGGATGGTGGTGGTGGTGGTGATGGTGATGATGATGATGATGGTGGTGGTGGTGGTGGTGGTGGTTGTAGTGGTGGTAGTGGTGAGGATGAGGATGCTGCCGATGATTGTGATGTTCGGTATCACGATCATGATCATGCTCATGATGATCGCGATGATCATGATGATCAGGATGTTAATGAGGAGGACGAGGACGATAAGTACGATGGCGATGTTGGTGCTTATGCTGCTAATGATGCTGCTGCCGCTGCTGCTGTTGCTGATGGTGATGATGCTGATGCTGATAATGATGATGATGATGCTGATGATGATAATGACGATGATGATGATGATGATGGTGGTGATGGCAATGATGGTGATGATGCTGATGCTGATGCTGATTGTGATGATGATGGTGTTGGTGGTGATGGTGATGGTGATGGTAAGGAGGAGGAGGAGGAGGAGGAGGAGGAGGAGGAGGAGGAGTAGGAGGACCAGTGTATACCCAAAAGTCATCAACGATGTTGGAATAAACCCGCCCTCCAAGCTCCCTCTTCGCAGGCCCCTATAAAGGCTCATCGTTTCCATTGATGCAACTGCCTCGTTGGAAGACACCCTTTTAAGACCTTGAAGCACGCAAAAACATTGTTCTCCGGATTCCAACGCCACGAATCAATTTGATTGTTGCGCTTTGACGATCTTGAATCGTGCCAGAACGCCATCCCTGGGACTTCAACGCAGCGAAACAACGTTACTCTTGCACCCGCAGAATCCTGCACCCGTTCACAACACCATTTCTGCCGTGAAACTCTTTGCGAGTACCATAGAACGAATGTGCGCGGCGCTAAGGCGTGAGGCCCTTTTTGAACAGGAGCCGCCCTCAATCCGTGAACTTATGCAATTGTTTTAAACAGATGTGCGCGGCGCTACGGCGCGAGCAACATTTTGCAAACGGGTCGCCCTCAACATGTGAAACTCGTTGCACATGTGTAAAACGAATGTGCGCGGCGCCATTGCGAGAGCCACATTTTGAAAACGGGTCGCCCTCAATCCGGGAAGCCCTTGTATTTTTGGTTGATGAATGTACGCCGCGCTAACGCGAGAGCCACAGTTTGAAAACAGGTCGCCCTCAATCCGTGGAACTTCTGTAATTGTTTAAAACGAACGTGCGCCGCGCTAAGGCGAGAGTCACATTTCGAAAACGACCCGCCCTCCATCTGTGAAACTGTTGCCAATGTTAGCTTCAGGTTCATAAGCGGTGAGGAAGTCTCAGGCGAAACTCCCCGCCCGCCCTAAAAACTTGGCTCTGGGTGTGACAGGGAGAAGTTATTTATAAGGAACAGGAATGGATGGAGGACGAGGCCGAGGACGACGACGACGACGACGACGACCACGACGACGACGACGACGACTACGCCGACGAGTACGAGGACGAGGAAAAGGAAGAGGAAGAGGACGAGGTGAGGAGGAGCAGGAGGAGGAGGAGGAGGGAGGAGGAGGAGGAGGAGGAGGAGGAAGCAGAAGGCCGTCCATATGAGACCTTTCGTGTTCGAGGAGCTCTCACGGTTTTCGTTTGGGCCGTCTTGGGGCTATCTTGGCGTCCTGTGAGGAAGTTTTGGGGACCCCTTGCTTGGTGTCGTCTTGGCCATATGGTGGGTGTCTTGGGGCCGTCGTCAAGCCGTTTTGGGCAGCCGAAGGGCTTTCTAAGGTCGTCTTGGGTCCCACGGGAGGCCCTCTTGGGTCGTCTTGGGGCCGTTTTGGATGCCTGTTGGGTCCTCGTGGGGTCTTCAATGGGTGATCTGTGGACCCTCGTAGGGCCTACTGGGCCGTCTTGGGGTCGTCCTGCAGGCTTCTTGGGCCGTCTTGAGCCGACGACAGCCCAAAAGGTGAGAATGCGAAAATCCTTCAAAACAATTGGGAACCAAAACTGCACATCTTGGCCCGGTTTCGAGGCATCTTGGGCAATCTTCTTCGTTGCCCTGGTGGAGTAGGAGGAGGAGGAGGAGGAGGAGGAGAGGAGGAGGGGAGGAGGAGAGGAGGGAGGAGGAGGAGGAGGAGGAGGAGGAGGAGGGGGGAGGAGGAGGAGGAGGAGGAGGAGAGGAGGAGGAGAGGAGGAGGAGGAGGAGGAGGAGGAGGAGGAGGAGGAGGGGGGGGAGGAGGAGGGAGGGAGAGAGGGAGGCAGGGAGGGCGGGCGGGAGGGAGGGAGGGAGGGAGGGAAGAGGAGGAGGCGGAGGAGGAGGAGGAAGAGGAGGAACAGGAACAGGAACAGGCACAGGACCAGGAACAGGAGGAGGAGGAGGAGGAGGAGGAAGGAGAAGGGAGAAGGGAGAAGGGACAAGGGAGAAGGGAGAAGGGAGAAGGGATGATGCAGAGGGCGGGGGTCCCCCAGGAAGGCGGCTGGCCATTCAGGCGTGGCGCCATTCCCCGGCCCTGCCAGAAGAGCCCAGGGGGTCTCGCCGCCGTCGAGGCGGTCGGGATGTCCGTTGCGGCCCAGCCCTGGACCCGTGGCTTGTTGGGGGTGTGATTGCTGCCTCGCCGACCTCGGCGACCAGGTGAGCGATTCAAAAGACGGGGTCGTTTGCGCCGACATTGGCGTGTAAGCTGTCCGCGCTAGGTCGCGGGTAAGCGCCCTCGTCTCCAGTGTAGCGTGCCGCGCTGGCGCCCGGCGTAAGCCGCCGCGTCGGATCGCTATGCCATCTCGCGTAAGACCCTTTTTGGATCGTCGCGCAGGTGGACTCCACCACCCGAGCGGTGCCGCCATGCGCGCGCGCGTTTGGCGGGCCCGCCCCCTTCTGGGCCCCCCGACACGCGCTCGCCGCGGCCGCCGCCCAGAAACAGTTCGCAAGCGCCGATGCGAGAGAATGTGTTGAATGCCGTCAAGCGTCTTTGGCAACAGCGACGAGCCTGCCTTGGAGGGGTGCCCCCAGGGGTTTCACAGATTTGAGGTGTAGGTGGAGGTTTGGGCAAAATCCGCTCGAAACATCGATTCCCTCACTCCTCCAGGAGTCCACCCTTGCCAAAAGTTCGAGGAGAGTCTGGTTGCGGCGACGAGGACGCCCGCATGCGGCCGGAGGAGCACGGCAGTGTCCAACATTCTTCGAGGCAGCCCGAGGTCCGAGCTGGCCGCGTTGCGCCCAAGAGGAGGCGCGCCCGCCCCTCCCCCGGTTCAGCGTCGCTTCCCGATCCCCATCCCCAACGGGCTCCCCATCCTCCAGTGGGCCATGGCATCGCGGCCCCGCCAGCCCACCCTCGAGGTGGGGCTGGGCCCTGCGAGGTCCGAAGAGAGCAGCAAATGTCCCCATCCAGGGGGGCAAATCGGTCAGCGGGGCCAGCCAAGGCCACGCCGATGGGCATGGGGATGGGTTGATTAGAGGAACCCTCCCCCCCGTCCCCGCGGCAGGCGTTCAGACACCGCGGCGACTACACCAGGGCGCTGCAGAGCGCCGAGAATGCCGTCCGGCACGCGGGCACGAAGCAGTGCCTCCGTCGCCCCCCAGTTGCGCCCGCGTCCAGGGCGCGGAGCTCGTCGTCGTCGTCGTCGTCGTTGCCGCTGTTGTCGTCTCCGTCGTCGCTGCCGTCGCCGTCGTCAGCTTCGTCTTCGTCGCCGTCGTCGTGTTCGTCTTCGTCTTCGTTGTCGTTTTCGCCGACCTCATGTCCGTGGTCGTCGTCGTCGTCGTCGTCATTGTCTTTGTCCCCGCTGTCGTCGTCCTGCTTGTCTGCTTCGTCGTGTTCTTCTTGTCGCTACTGTTATCTGTAAGGGTTCTGCACGGTGCCGCCGGCCCCCTCTTTATCATAATTCGATTTGCTCTGGTCATGAGCGGCGAACACACGCGTGTGCCGCCCCGGTCAATCTTCTGTTGTCTTTTAAACGATCAAGCACGACGTAAGTTGGATATTTTCGCCTGGCGTGATGTACAAACGGGTCGTGGCATCGGGAGCGCGAGTGCATTGTAGATTACCTGTGGTTGTGACCTTGTGGGCGCGAATACGGTATAATCTACTTGGGATCGCGGCCTCCTGGGCGCGGACATGGGGGCATGGCGTAATTTACTCGGAGTCGTGGTGTCGGATGCGCGAATCTGGCGCAATTCATAGCGGATCGTGGCATCGGGGGCGCGAAGCTAAGGATCTTGGCCTCGGTTAAGCGAGTGCGCCATAATTCGCGAGGACTTTCGGCCCCAGGGACGCGAATCCGAAGCACGTTACGAGGGATCGTGGTTTCGGGGGCGCGAACGAGTGTTTTCGGGGGGGGGGTAGATCCGGGATTCCTTGTTAATTAATGCTCACTAGTGAGTTTGTCAATTCCACTGCGCGCGCAATCATCCCACCCACCCACCCACCCGCAACATGGTTTTCAAAACCCATGCGGCGGCGTTTGCGATGATTGCTTGGCACTGGTTGGCGAACCGCTGCGGCTGCGTTAGTTCGCGCACGATCGCGCGCGGAGCGGCCAGCTAGCCTGACGCAAACGACGCGGCCGCGGTGGCGCTTGTCGCCTGGGACTTCCCGGCGCGTCTCGCAGGCCGCGCCGCGCCGACGCGCGGGCACGTCAGTGCGAGTCGGTGACTCGGGCAGGCGCGTGATCATGGCGACGTTGACAACGGCAGACACGGTGATGACAATGTCGAGGACAAGGCCAATGACGGCGCCGATGCGGGTCACGCCGATGACGATAATGGTGTCCACGTGTCTGTGATGAGAGTTTCGGACGGATTCCGACATGAGCGCGCGGCCGAGGGGCGCGAGTGGCCCGCATGGTGTTATGTGTCAGGGGTCGTGCCCACCCACCAAGCGCGCAAGGGCGTTCGAATGATTTCGACATGCGCGCGCGCGAGAGGTCTGCTTGGTCGCATTTGACGATAATGATGAACACGGATGGTGCCATAAGAATGTGCAATAACACGCATTTTTTGGAGTATCCAGCATGTAGATCCACACGTTTCTCCTATGTTGTCGGGAAATTCAATACTGATGTCCTGCAACACCGACGGTTTTAACATAATTTCGGCATGTGCGCGGCGACGCGCGCGCATCGATTTCGTCCCGGTAGTTGCAATGGATTATTGAGACCTGTTGGTGTTTGATCAACGGATGTGCGCGCAAAGTATTATTTGACAAGTGTGAGGAGGGGCGATAAAAAATGGGTCTAGCTGGGATGCTATGATTTCATATTTCCTATGAGCGATGGGGCAGAGTAACATGTGATTCGTCTTATCCCAGGGAGTGCTGATAGGAGGGTCAGTCCTCATTTTCAAAGGAACGGAACTCAGTGTGGTGCAGTGTATGTTGTGCGATACATATGGTGCGCGATACATGTGGTGTCATTTATGTGGTGAGAAGTGTGTTGTGCAGTCGATGTTGTGTAACACATGTTCTGCAATCTACGTGAGGCGGCGACGGCGGCAACAAACGCGACGACCGACAGACAGGCTAAAACGACGGGCGGCGACGAGGTGGCAACGGCGGCAACAAGCGCGGCGACCGACAGACCGGCCCAGACGACGGGCGGCGATTGGGCGGCGACGGCGGCAACATGGCCGCTAGACCGACATTCCGGCCCAGCTCTTTAGAAACAAGTTAAGTCCTTTGAGTGCAAACACGATTTGGGGAATTGTTTGGGGTCCACGTTGGCGAATACTTATGCGGAAAAAGGGCTGGAGGAGGAGAGGAGGAGGAGGAGGAGGAGGAGGAGGAGGAGGAGGAGGAGGAGGAGGAGGAGGAGGAGGAGGGGTCAGGTAAGGGGAGCCGCCCCTGCAACCCCGCCCGCGCGAGCGCGGGCGCATCAGCTCAGTGGTCGGTGCCCGACGCTTGGTGGCATTTTCTGGCCCTAGGTCGCCCGCAGGGGCGCGGCCTGGGCTGGAGATGTGCCCTGCTTCCTCCTCCTCGTCCTCCTGCTCCTC